CTGGATTATTTCTACTGGGTTTTGGCTCACCCTATATGGAAAAACCAGTTTCAGGTGTTGGGAGGACTGGAGCAAGTGCTTCATTTTGTTTACTTGCTGTTATTATTTTGTACAAGCCTAGGGCTCTATCTATATTGGATTTAAATCTATTTTGATGTAACCAAGTATAGTCTTGGAAAGTTGTAACCTTCAGGGCATTTCAATTACCTATTTAACTTCTATTTCATATCTTTTTTATTGACACATGCTGCAGATTCAGAGTTAGGACTTATGAATGTATAATTGCATGTGTCATCCTTTTGTACAACTGAGTCGTATGTATTGGAACGACATTATACTCTAATTCATACTGTCATTTATTTATCGTCGTTGATGGGTTATTGTATTTATTTCGGGGTGCTACTGTTACAGTAGTGCTACATCCACACAATTTCTTCCCCCTTCCCCGCCAAAAAAAAAATCCCCCTAATGAGGTGGTAAGAGAGAATGTATGTAATGAGTAATGCTAGAGATCTATACTTTCATACCCACAAAGCCTCTAAAAATGATGTGGCAAAGGAGTGGGGCCCTATATCATTGGATGCGTAACAAATCAAAAGTTAACACATATGATACCACATCATTGTAGGTACAATTGTGGGAGTTTTTGTGGGTCTTAAACATTTTCCTATATGCAAGGAGAGTTTTGATGGAATTTTTGAATGTGGGTCAACTTTTTAAATTTTGTTTGCCACGCCATTAGGGGAATTGTGGAGAGAAGAAATTGTCTGGATGAATCATTTTTTTAATATTTAATACTGGTACGACTCCTTTTTAAAATAACTTTTTTTATAATTTTCAAATTTGTTCTTTTTTTGGTGGCAACTTGATTGGATCATCGTCTTAAAAATAATTAACGAACAACATAATTCTGAAAGTGGTTTGTTAATTATTTTCTAGATGAATGTGATCTGATCGAGTGGCTCTCGATATTCGATCGACGTTAAATATCAAATCAAGGAAGCATTTAACCTTTCATCAAATTTTGTAGGTGGCCGTTGGTGGACGACCAGATTTGGGAAAATTTTGAAAATTTTTTGTGAAAATTTACTCTAGGCTGGACAACCTGCCAGATTTGATGAAACAATTGGAATGCATTATATTAGATCAATCTTTCAATCAAATTTTTACTTAAATTTGATAAAAATTCTAAGTAAGCGTTGGAGACACTCTTAAAAGTTTGCTTCTTAATTAAGATCCCTAGAAATTCAAATGCCAGAAGGATAAGAATTTTTTTTTAGATAAATAGTCAAAAATAACTTTAGAACCTTAATTTTTTCTACAAATGTTTGTGTTTTCCAGATTTTTACATCTCTCTCTCTCTCTATATATATATATATATCCCTCTCTCTCTAGCATCAATAATCTCTTAACTGTATCCACTGGTGTGTGCCTCCACCACTTCATTATTACCACAATTCTCTAGACCTAAAGTAATCATCGTTGTTTTCATCAATTACATACAATACAAGAAAAGTGGGCTTATGAGACGGAACTTTTTGCGACGGCACATTTGTTGTCGCAAAAAATGTAACCTTTTGAGATGGCACAATTTGCCGTCGCAAAAAATATGACTTTTTGAGACGGCACAACTTGCTGTCGAAAAAAATGTGCCTTTTTTAGACGGCACAACTTGTCGTCGCAAAAAATATGTGACTTTTTGAGACGGTACAACTTGCCGTCGCGAAAAATGTGCCTTTTTGAGACGGCACAACTTGCCGTCGTAAAAAAATGTGACTTTTTGATAAAAAAATAATAATAATATTTTTTTTTCATTAAAATAAAAATAAAACAAATAAATTTTCAATCTATAACTAAAGAAAAAATTGATTTTTTTTTAAAAATTCATTAACTACAAAAAAAAAATTATTTTAACAAAAAATAAATTTTTTTGGCGACGGCAACCCCCGTCGCAAAAAAAAAAAAAAAAAGGTTAAACCACGTTTTGTTGTTTAAATTTCATATTTTTTTTTTCATTCCCGTTCTGTAACCCCCTCATTCTCAAACCACTCCGCCCAAAACCAAAATTCTCTAATCTCTTCTTACCCCCATCTCTGTCTCTTTTCACCCATTTTTCATCTTCCTCTCTCTCTTCTCTTTCTCTCTTTCACTCATCACTCTTCTCTATCTGTCTGTTTGTCTATCTGTCTCTCTTTCTCTCTGCGTGTCTCTCACTCATCTATCTCCTCTCATCTTTTTTCTCATCTCTCTTCTGTCTATCTCTCTCATCTCTTTCTCTTTGTGTTTCTCGTCCATCTCTCTTCTGTCTATCTCTCTGTCTCTCTCTTTTCTCTTCATCTCTCTCGCTCATCTCTCCCTGTCACTCTCTCGTTTATCTCTTTTCGCACTTTTTTGTTCTCTCTCTCTCTCTCTTTTTGTCTATATATTTTCACCCATTTTTTCATCTTCCTCTCTCTCTTCTCTTTCTTTCTCTCACTCATCACTCTGTCTCTCTCTCTTTCTGTGTCTCTCACTTATCTATCTCTTCTCTCATCTCTTTTCTCTCACTGTCTTTTTCGCTCATCTCTCTTCTCTCTATCTCTCTCATCTCTCTTTGTCTCTCTCTTTCATCTTTCATCTCTCATCTCTCATCTCTCTATCTCTCTCTCTGTCTCTCTCGTTCATCTCTCTTCTCTCTATGTCTCTCTTGCTCATCTCTCTTCTCCCTATCTCTCTCTTTCTCTCTCGTTATCTCTCTTCTCTCTGTCTCTTTTTCTGTCTCTCATTCTCTATCTCTTTATCTTTTTGTCTCTCTCTTCTCTTTCTCTCTCTCTCTCTCTCTCCCCCATTGTGTTCGTATTGCTCACTCTCTCCCTTCTGTCTTCTCTATTTACTGAGCTCCTTCTCGATTTATCTATCCACTACAAGAAAATGCACTTTTAGCGACCACTTTGTCTCTCTCTCGCTCATCACTCTGTCTCTGTCTCTCTTTCTCTCCTCTATCTGTCTCTCACTCATCTCTCTCTCTCTCTCACCACCCATCTCCTTTACCACCTTCACCGCTACTGCAAATGCCATTCCACTACCACCATTACTACCACTGTCGCCACTTCACCTCTACGACTACCATTACTACTACCATTGCCACCACTCCACTACCACCACTACCACTACTGCCATTACTACTACCATTACCTCTCATTCACCCCTGCCACTCCATCTACTCTACCACTACCACAACTTCACCACTAATCTCCTTCGCCATCACCACCACCACCACCATCATCTCTTATCCACCATATTCACCACTACTGCCGCTTCCTCTCCTCTACCACAAAAAATTAGTTCATGATTTTTAATAACAAAAAAAAAATGGGTTGCAGAAAAATATTTTTCATTGACTATAGAAAATTAACTTTTATTTTAGTGGAAAATACTTTTCATTAAAATATTACCCCTACTTCTACCAAATAAAAAATAATAATATTGTTTTATTAAAATAAAAATGAAACAAATAAATTTTCAATCTTAGTAACTAAAAAAAAAAAGATATATTTTAACAAAAAATAAAATTTTTTGATGACATCAACCCTCGTCGTAAAAAAAATAAAATTAAATTAAACGGCGTTATTTTGTTATTTAAATTTCATTTCTGACAACAAAAAAAAATTTTAATTTTTAATTTTTATTTTTTATTCCCGTCCCTTTTTTTTCCATTCCCCCCCCCCCCAAAACCAAAAATCCCTAATCTCTTCTTACCCCCCTCTTTCTCTCTCGATCGACGACGAGCGGTGGAGGAGCAGCGTCGGAGGAGCAGCGTCGTCGTCGTTGGAGCAGCAGCAGATCTTCCGATGTTTCCTGGCCTCACCAAGTCCTACCCTGTCACTCCTTCTTGTATTCACAGTTTCATCATTAAACAGCATCTGATATGTGTTCAAGTATTTGATGATTTGATTCCTGAAAATATTCTCTGTTTATTTTGACTAGGTCATGTTTGAAGGGGTTTATGCTTTGCACCCTAATATCAGAAAATCACTAGACTTGTGGATTGCTGTTGTAAGGATGAATGCCACTTCACTTCTGAGGCTTTATATTTTATTTTTTTGTTGATCAACCTTCTTGTTTCTGGTTATCTATATCAATTTCTTTTGGATAAGTAGAAATACTTGTTATGAGATAACCGGTTGTTTGAAAACAGGTTGGAGGTGTTCATTCACATCTTATTTCTCGAGTTCAAATGGACAAAAGTAGAGTTGGGTGCTTTATGTCCCAAAATGACATTATGACAATAGTGTTTCCAATGTTCCAGCTGCACATTGAGCCACATCTTGTTCATGCACATGTTAGTAGATTCGAAACCATTTGAGGCTTATTATTGTTGCATAATTTATTGTTTCATGTTTTTTTGTCAAAGAAAGAAAAATCATTTTTCACTCTGAAATATTTTAAAGGTTGCCATGGCTTTTTTATATTTGACTGTTTTGAACCTTTTTCTTTTTTTTTTTATCAAATCCAGTTTAATTTTTTTTAATCATTGATTCAGAAGTATCATAATTTTGTGCAAAAATTTTGATATATGATATTTGTGAGATTTAAACCAGGGTAATATTGATGTAGTGACTACATATATCAAACCTTTAGAATTACTCACTGCAGGTTATGGTGGATAATTTCTTATATGCATGCATTGCCTTATCTTTTGCTAATTATTAGAATTATTCTTTAGCAGTAACAGGCGTGAAGGCGAACTATATCAAATCAATACATATATATATCTTTCATGATGGCGTGAAGGCGAACTATATATATATCATTTGCTAATATATATATATACATTGATATTTCAAGAAGGTAGTCGTATTCGTACCATATCCTTATCAGATGCTAATACATTTTGAATACTCATGGGTAGTTTCTAAACGTCTAGTATTGAAATTAATTTTCTTGAATTTTGACAAGTATTGGATACTTTTGGATAAGTCATGTATCTAAACTATTATGAAACTGAGATTGTAATATTTCTTGCATAGCTATAGAGCATAATTGTTAAAATAAAAACGAGAATAGTTTTAAATACTCAGTTTATATCTAAAGCCAGGGTTTCTGTCCATCTCTCTGTCTCTCTCTCTAGAAAATTGGGGACAATCGTCGAGCGCCATGGTTCGTTTCAAAGCTAAAGCTTAAATCTTTGTTTTTTTGTTGTTTGTGTGTTTGATAATTGTATATTTCTGATATCGATATCAATTGAACGTGTACTGATTTGATTGTTGTTTTTTTGTTTGATAAATGATTTGTTAAGCCTCAAGGAGATTACATAGAGCTTCACAGGAAGAGAAATGGCTATCGCCATGATCATTTCGAGCGCAAATGAAAGAAAGAGACTCGTGAAGTCCACAAGCGATCTCAGATTGCTCAGAAGGTTCAATTTCTTCACTTTTCTCATGTATGTATTTATGGAGTTTTGTGTGGAAGTTCTAATTTTGTGCTTCAATTTGAATTGAGCAGTCTTTGGGTATCAAGGGTAAGATGTTTGCTAAGAAATGCTATGCTGAGAAGGCCCAAATGAAGAAAACGTGAGTGTTTTGTTTCTTTTTAATTTTTTTTTTATACATTTACATGTGTTTTCATTTTATTTAATTAAGATTTTGATTCTATACTTGTTTTTGAATCCTGAATTTTAATATAGATGCATTGATCCGTAAACCGTAGTGGTGTTTAGAATTAGAATTGTCAGTTTTTGGAAATAATTTTGTTTCTTTTTGTCTTTGATGAAATTAGCAGTATTTTTTGAGGAAAAAACATCTCATCTTTCTTAATGAGTTCTAAGTAAGCTTACCCTCCATTTTGGTTAAATGCAAGAAAGTTTCCAGCATTCACTGGGATAGTCTTTTCATCGAGATGGTTCTGTACGAGTTTGATAGGCATTTTCGGGTTCCCTTGCTGTAGAAGAGTTCAGATATGGTCAATTGCAGTGAGGTCCCCCACAGTTTGTCTTTAACCTTATGGACCATTCCCAATTTTATGACACGAAATGTATGCTGGTTTAGTCTTTTCTGACTTTATTTCAATTGTTATTTAGTCAGTTTCTCTCTGTTTTATTGTGATTTTGGTTATTATTCCTGACAATAAGGTCCTTGGAGTCTATGGTAGGGGCTAGTTTTTACATGGCTCACCATTGCAATTGATTATGATAAATCATTACTATAATGCACACTGACAATGCGTTGTCAACCCAACACAGTAATGTACAATTACAAGGAAACTCCCCCCCTCCCCCCCCCCAAAAAAAGAGATAGAGAGAGAGGAGAGAGAAGCCCTTGAGTAGTGGAAAGGAAATAATTAATCTATGCTAAGGTAAGAGAAGCCCTTGAGTAGTGGAAAATAAATAATTAACCTATGTTAAGGTAAATGATTAATTGTGTTGTAATATTCTATTATTTTATGGCATTTTATTTATCATGTGTTGTGGGAGATCTATTAAATTAATACAATAATTATATATTATGAGAAAAATATAAATTATGATAAGATAATGTAATCATCGTATTGTTATTAAACAAAGATTTAACCCTCCCTGAAACATGCCGCAAAATCATTATAGCACTCATTGTTGCTTCAACTCTCCTTTGTGGAATTTTGCTGTCTCTGTTTTGTTTCTGGATCTATAGACACAAAAACTTGAAGAACTCCATTGCAAAAAGCCAACAGAGCTGTGGTTTTTTGTTATTCTTAGTCATCCTCCAATTGAGCTATTGTTAATAAATAAATAAAATAAAAAAATTTGACAATAGTTATATGAAGAAGAGAGAAGAAAGTCCAAGAAATGAAATACAAAATATATGTTACTTTTTTGTTTTTTTTTTTGGTTTTGGACCAATGATAACTGGAAGAGATGTTAAAAAAGAGAAAAAGAAAAGTTGAACAGTAAAAATGGAAAGGGATTAAAGTGAGAAATGAAAGGTAGAATGCAGAAAGAGTAGTGGTAGGAATTATGAAAAAGAATAATGTTTTAGAGTACTAAATTGGGAGTTCTAGAGTATCACTAATGATGTGGTATAGTGGCCCCCACCAAAGTGATGTGATTTTTTTTTTTTTTTTTTTTTTTTTTAAGCTCATTAGAGCTATTAGTGATCTAAAAATTAGTGGGATAAATCACCACTCTTTTTATGAAATTTTTATATAAAATATTTTATGATATTTTTTTCATAATTCATAATATTATTTATGCCTGAAATCTGTTCAATGCACTGTTGTCCTGCCTGAATTTTCCCTTCACATAATTCATAATATTATTCATAATATTATTTACGCCAATGTTTTCCCTAGTACACATTTCTGAAGTCAATCATGTTGTGATTTTAGTAATTTCATTCCTTTACTCAAACATTTTCTTAATATCTTTGTTTGTTTGTGTGTGTGTATATATATATCATTCTTCTTTTGTGTGTGTATATATATATCATTCTTCTTGTTTTTCAATTGTAGATTGCTGTCATTTATACTTGTTTAATGCATTATGGTTTGAATAAACAACCTTTTGGCTAATTTTCCACCATGTCTACAGGTTGGCTATGCATGAAGAATCATCATCCAGGTGAAAGGTGGATGATGATGTTCAGGAAGGAGCTATTCCTGCTTATCTGCTTGATCGTAAAACAACGACACGGGCAAAGGTATGCTATTTTTAGCTAAGATGATAGTACTTTTTATAAAGTTCTCCATTTTATGGATGTTAAGTGTAAATATGTGTTGGCCATGTACCATTATTGATTATCATATAATGCTGTCTGTAGGTTCTCAGCAACACTGCAAAGCAAAAAAGAAAAGAGAAAGCTGGAAAATGGGAGGTTCCTCTATCCAAGGTAGGATCTGCTACAACTTTGTACATAGTATCTTTCTTGCATGTTTTTTTCTTGAATTTACTGGATGTCTTTCTTATTTTATGTTTTCATATCCTAGTGGACCTCTTTTAGGGAAATCCGCCTATTATAGGAGTGCAAATGGGGAAGATGATGTGAAATTGTTAATAACCAATTATGTATTTAAAGAAAATAAAAATGCCAATTTTCAGTTCTTCCCCACACCACAGAAATTAACACATAATTATATTTAAAGAAATTAACCCATAATTATATTGTTATTAATTGTTTTTATTTTTTATTTTCAGATATTTTCCCAGTAGTAGTTTGCTTCTTGTGGAATGCAGGCGTATGAAGATTGCGATTAACTTTTGTTTTTGTTACTCACGGAAAAATCATGATGAAAACTTTTGTTTTTGATTTACGTTATTTTGAATTGTGAACAATATTATGTATTTAAACATTGTATATGTATTATGCAACATTATATAGTGGGATAATTTTGCTGATGCATTGTTATGAATGGAAGAATGTTTTTATTATGGATGAATAGAATTTTTATATTATTATGTAATTATTGGTTTTTTTTCAATTATTTTTCATTTAATATAAGTAATTTTCATGTTTTTAATAATTTTATTGTAATTTTTTTTTGAGACGGCACCACGTTGCCATTGCAAATGATATCCGCATTAGCTGAGACAAAAGCCTTTTGCGACGGTATTCTTTGCTGTCGCAAATGATATCCACACTAGCTAAGACAAAAGCCTTTTGCGCCGATACTCTTTGCAGTCGCAAATAATCTTTTAGCGACGGTAGGTATCCTGTCGCAATAAAAGTTCTTTAGCGATGACATTTTTGCTGTCGCAAATAACGCCTTTAGCGACGGCAGCAGAGTGCTGTCTGAAAAAACCTTAGATTTTTTCATATTAATGGCGACGGCAAAATTCCGTCGAAAAAAGGCAACTTTGCCGTCGCCAAAAAAAGGCGACGGCAACGTGCTGTCGCTAAAACCTTTTTGCAATCCCCTTTGTTGCGACCCCCCAGTTGCCGTCGCTAAAAGTCCTCTGCTGTCGCAAAAAACCTTTTGAGACGGCATTTTGAGTATTTGCGACGGCATTTTAGCGTCGCAAAAAGTCAATTTTTTTGTAGTGATAGATGTAAACTGATGACAAATATTGTCTAGATCTAAACCTTGTTCATTGCTTGCAGCTATCATTCACATCATTGTTCATATATAACCTCTACCATAGTTTTGCCTCCACCATTTTGTATCACCGCTAATGCCGACAATGCTTCTCCATCTACCATCGTGATCTATATTAGTTTTTGCTTAAATTTTTCTCATTTTTTTTTTTTGTTCTCTCTTATTTGTCTTTATATCTTTATCCATTCGTTCTCATTCACATCTTAGTTAAAAAGTAAGAAAAATCACAGTTGCAATAAGTAATTTTACCATCACAAAGAAATTTCACTGAGTGAAATTTTACACTTGTAAGCTTCATAGAGTGAAATTTCATTGGGGAAAGCCTATACAAATTTCACTTAGGGAAATTTTGCTCATTGAAATTTCACTTTATGTAAGCTTTCGCTGTACAAGTCAATGAAATTTGACTTTTTGGACCTATTAAAACTTTTATTGAAGGCTAAAAATTATAAAAATAAAATTGAAAAATTAGGCACCTTATTGTAAATTTGAATATAAAAAATTTATTTGAAGGATCCTGTTGAAACTTTAGACTTTTTTTTTTTTTTGGATCAAAATTTTCTTTTGCTTGAAAAGTCACTCAGATAATGGCGGAGAATTGCCAAAAATAAAAAATAAAAAATGACAATTTGTAGAGTCACCGCAAATTCTCCGTCGACAGGCGAAGGTGGCAATTAGTGGCTATTGGTGGCGATTGGAGGTAATAGCAGTTGTGACTGAAGTAGTAAAGGTAGTGTAAGTGTACTAAGGGTAGTTCTGTTCAGAAAATATTTAATGTTCTTCAATACGTAAAAAAATTATAGTTGTCTTTAAACTACTAAAATATGTTGACTAGGGAGCTAGATGGAAAAAAAAAATATAAAATTATATATATATATATATATGAAGCAAAAGGGACTTTTCAACCTAAGAGTTTTGTGAAGCTCAAAAGCGTTAATTTTCTTGAATTTTTAATTTTTAAACAATTGAAAAACTTATATTGGTTAGCTTTCATTGAATCATTTTAAAAAAAAATCTACTTATGCTTTAATTTACAAATTTTAAAACGAAAGTTAATTAATTCATTTCAATATTTAAATTTAGAAATTTAAAAAGAAAAGTTAACTAATCATTTTAAATTTAAAATTTGGGTACCACTAAAATATGTGAAGCAATTTACATTTTTAATAGATGTTTTTGCTTCTTATTTAATGGTTTCAAGTAAATGGACATTTCAATTGCAAAATATTTCAATTAACGGATACATTACTATAAGTTTATGCTTCTTCTATAAGATTTTTTTAATAGATTAAAGTATGCTGTTATTTGATGTAAGCTTACTTTTATCTTCTTTTTAATTGTTGAATGGTTTTAAGTGCATGTACATTAGATATGTAATTGGCGAACGGTAGTGGGGAATTGGTGACAATGAAGTGTAGATTGATGGCGGTAGCAATGGATGGCAACAGTGGAAAGAGGAAAATGATAGTGGCGGTGGCGATGGTGGATCAACGACGACGGTGGTAGTTATTAGTGGATGACGTTGGTGGCGGTGGTCAGAGATGGTAGCAATGGTGATGGCAGTGTGAGGTTCTTAGAGAAAAGAAGAATATTATGATCTATTGGTACATTCAAAAGATGTGTAGGACTTATAAGTATTTACGTTCAATGATTGGAGCGTAGGGACGTAAAAAAAATCGATTAAATTGGACCAAACCGGCTGTATTTGGTCTATATTTTAACAACAATTTCTATATGCAATTTTTTAATTTGATTTTTTTTTTTGATTTTTGATTCGATATCTGTTTAAGCACCTTTTGTACCGAACTAAACAAAAACCGATCGCTTCAACATATATTATATTTATAATATATAATATAATAATATTAATAAATATAATACATTATTAATTTCAATTAATTAACCTTATCATCCCTATAACCTAAGTTGGGATACCTTTATTATATATATATATATATATTTTAACGCTAAGTCACTATTCTTGAAACCTTAGTATTTATTATTATTTTTTTACTTGTATTTTTGTCAATCTAAAAATTGTAAAGTATTTATCAAATTGAAGGATTGAATATTTGAAATGGTTGAAAAATGGTTAATTCAATGTTTCTACATAAATGAGTGACTATATTAAAAAATGACTTAAATTTGACAGATCCTAAACTGATTAAACTGCACTAAACTGAACCGTTTCAATCGGTGCAGTGTGATGGAGAAACGGTCTATATCAATACTCAAAATAATAAAATTGATATTATTGATTTGATAAAAAATTTTATTCAAAGACTGACCGTACCGAATCAATTACATTTCGACAGAGTAATTGTTCATAAAATTAATGTTAACATTGAGAATTCTGTTGGTATTCGTTAGTGGGCAAGCTGAACTTGGCAGCCCAAAAAATTTATGTTCTCATAATATGAAGGGACACTTATGGGTTGGTCCCATTGATAAGACTTAATTATTTATATGTTCTATTTTTTTTTTTTTTACTATCAATATTTTTAAAATACCCTCCATTCACATTTTCCAAACCAATTATCAACACTGTTATGAATATCCGTTCCCCAACAGTGATCACCTCTAACCACTATCTCCGGCTGCCGATGACCACCTCCAGCCACCATTTTCGGTCGCCAATGATCACCTCCAACCACCATCACTGACTGCCATTGGACTCTAGTGATATTTTCTGACGAGTATCTCTAGTTGCCGTCTTTGGAAATATTTTTCCGACGAACACCTCCGGCGATATTTTTTTTTCTACAATTCCCTAACTATTTTTACAGCTGAAACAACTCTCATCTCCATTACATCACCACTCCCACCACCTCTTCAGATATGATATGACAAGAGAAATGTAGAAGGAACAGAAAAGGTTAGCAGTGATAAATTTACCAGTATATACTTAGATCATTTAAATCAACTATTATCTCTTACTCTGAGACACACTCATTCATTTATTCATTCACAAAAACAAATTTATACACTTACACAACAAGAGAAAGTAAAGAGGAGAGGAAAAAAAAAAGAAAAAAAGAAAAAAAAATTGTGTTTGGTTCCTATTTTCTAAACTCATTTTTTTTGAAAATTTTGGAGTTTTTGTTTGGTTGTTTTAAAAACCAGACAAAGTTTTTTGAAAGCTAACATGGGAGTATTTTTTGATGTGATAAATTTTTATTTTTTTTAATTGTCTCTCTCCTTAAATTGAAGGAAAACTTGAATTTGCAATACTATATTTTTTTTTTTTTGAAAACCAAACAAAGATCATTTTTCAAAATAGAGTTTTCAAATAACTTTTTGAAAAAGTAATTCAAAAAAATGGAACCAAACATGATGAAATTGGTGTTAAATTTATCACTGATAAATGGTTTGGTTAAATTCATCAATGATAAATGTTAAAAATGATAAATTTATAACACATAAATAATCATACCATTTAATCGGTACTCTTTTATACTTTCACACTCATACTCACATACATACACATTCACTTACATATCCATTCACAAATACATTCACACATTTACACGTACAAAAAAAAGTGTAAGACTGATAAATTTATCACTATAAATTTATCCAGATTTTACAAACAATATATTTGGTTTAACCAGAGCTTCACCAACAAATTCATAGGGATCTATCACATAGTAGAGAGAGAGAGAGAGAGAGAGAGAGAGAGAAACTCGATATCACTAGAAAGAGCTTTGACCACCTCGTAATGGCTACTTCTTGATGGTGAAGATTGCTATAATACTAGATCGACATTGTAAATGCCCAGATTTGAACAACGACGATGGAGAACGGTGACCGTGGAGATAAAAAATGGTTGAAATTGTTGGTGAATGATGGTGGCGATCGAACAATGAGGTGGTGGCAGTGATGACCTGCGGTGGAGGCAGTGGTAGGTGTGGTGATGATGGCGATGTGTGGTGGTGGTGTGAAGTTTAAAAAATGGTAGAGAAAGAGAAAGAAGAAAAGCTTGCTGGAGAATTAAGAGAAAAAAAGAGAATATAACAGAAAAATAGATAATTAATGATGAGTAATAAATCAATGAGGGTAACATAAGTAATGAAGGATTTATTGATGCATTTAAAAAAGAGTTATTTTTGAGATCCT